TCTTTCCCTGTGAGTATTTACATGACCCTCATCACTATCATCTCCAAGCAAATTTTACCTACCTTAGTACATCCAGATGTTAGAGTAACTCTGCTAGACTCTTTAAAAGGGTAGAGAGGGGAAGATCTGGGCATGCGTCTAAGTGAAGATAAAGTAGCCAGTGTCTGGCCTTTACTCATATCTACCCACTCAGCACAAAGAGGCTAATCTTTGTTTTTGTCTAGAACAGACTCTCATCCAGGCTGCCTATCAGAGTATTGTCACTGAGTACATGCAGGCTCTCCTAACTATTTCTGGGAAGTCATCTTCTGCGAAGCGGAGGAATATTGCCAACAAAATTAAAGCAGATCACAGGGCAATGCGAACACTATTTGAAGAAAACTTTGTAAGTCTTTGATTTGGTTTTGCAATATTATGCATATTATTTCCACCACCGACTACAGTTCTCAGGACAGTGAGGGGCATATAACGAACTTTTACATGGATCTCCATACGTAAACATCAGTTGTGTGTAAGACATTGTGTTGGCAGTTCAAATCTGCTATCAGTGGGGGGAAACAGTGTTAGATTGTAGCTTTGGAAGGTAGGGTGACCTTTCCCCTGTAACAGGAAACAGACAGAGACTTAAAATTGGGGTGTGTAAATTACACCAGGTAGGCCCATTGCTCTTCATGGGGCAATTGCTTCAGTAGAACAGGTGTTGCTGTCCATGCTGCTCTACAATGAGGCTATTGCCAGAGGGGCAATGTAGAGTCCTATAGAAGCTACACAGGTAGGAGCTAGTGAAATGAAGCACTGACCTGGCCTACTCTACAGCTGTCCTGTCATTGCTTCCTTTGTGGGCTGCACTAGCCACTTATGGCTACTCTGCAGTGGACAGGGGTTTGTCCAATAGGGATCCATCTTGCCCAGTATTCTGTCTTCTGACAGTGGCTAATTCTAGATGCTCAGAGGGAATGAACAATGCAGGCAATCAACAAACAGAACAGACAATCATCGAGTGAGCCATCCCTTCCTAGCTTCAGGCAAATAAAGGTTAATGACACCCAGAAAATGGTGTTACATCCTAGACCATATTGGTTAATAGTAATTGATGGACCTATCCTCCAGGATCTTATTTAATTTCTCTTTGACCCATTTATACTTTTGGTCTTCACAACATCCCCTAGCAGTAAGTTCACTAGGTTGACTGTGCGTTGTATGAAGGACTTCTTTATGTTTGTTTCAAACCTGCTGCCTGTTAATTTAATTGAGTCATTCCTGTTTCTTGTTTTATGTGAATGGATAAATAATACTTTCTTATTCACTTTCTCCACTCCAGTCAAGATTTTATAGACTTCTATTATCTCTCCTTTGTCATCTCTTTTCCAGACTGAACAGTGTCATTTCTCCTCATACCAGAGCTATTCCATACCCTTAATCTTTTTTGTTGTATTTTTCTCCACCTTTTCTAATATCTCTCTCGCTCTCTTTTTTTTTTTTTTAAAGATGGAGTGACCTGATTTGCATGCAGCATTTGAGATTTGGGCATACCGTACATTTTATATAATGACACTATGATATTTTCTCTCTTACTAGCTATCCTTTTCCTAGTGGCTGCTAACATTTGTTAGCTTTTTTGACTGTGGCTGCTCATTGAGTGGATGTTTTAAGAGAACTCTCCTCAGAGATCTTTCTTGAGTTGTAACTGCTAATTTAGACCCCATCATTTTGTATGTGTCATTGGGATTTATCACCCCGTTGTTTGAATCAAACACTACATGACACACTTTTGACTGCTGAGGGTTAAAAAGGATCATGTGCCAGCTTTTGCAAAACTTGGGCTGCTAATCCTAATGTCATAGCCAAACTAATCCTAGTGTCATGGCCAAATTTTAACTCAGGCAATTATACTTGAAAGTCTTCTGTAGTATAGTTTCACTTGTAGTAGAGTACCCATCTCTCTTCCTGCTCTGACAGGTTGTTGGATGCTGTTGTGTTCCACTGAGTATAGAAATTACTTACTGCATTTCAGAGGTGGGTGACTCATCTCACTGGGACCAGGATTATCATGAATGTTTCTAAAATACACGTACAGAGATGTATGAAATGCACTGCAGAGCAGAGCCATCCCGTCCATAGGACGGTCTGAGGCAACTGCACCAGGCCCCCTGCTTTTGGGAGCCCTGGGGTGGCCCCTCCAACCATTCTATGGACAGGACCCTCAGGATTACCTGGAGCTGGGGACCTGTTACAGTGGCAGCAGGACTCGCACCCCATCCTGCACTCATGGTGGCAGTGGGAGCCAAAGCAGCCCCAGCAGCCTGCTCTGCCCTGCCTCATGGCCCTCTCCTGACCCACTGCACATGGCTTTTCTGTGGAGGTGGGAAGCAGAGCGCCCTTGGACTAGGTGGATCCAGACCGGTCCCCTGTTTTTAGCCTCCCTTGGAAAAAGCTCAGACTCACTGCAATTAACCCATTAGTCTCCCCCATTAGCCCAGATGTGGGGCCCGGGGTAACACCCACACCCTGCCACCAGCCCTGCCCTGCCCCTTCCCTTGAGTAATGGATTATGGGGGGCCTGGTATGGAGCAGCAAGGTGGCACTCATCATGGTGGCAGCAGCCAGAGCAGCATGACAGCCTGCTTCGTGCCACCCCAACGCACCACTGTCTCCCAGCCAACGGCATCCCACTTTTCCACTGCAGCAGGAAGCAGGACCTCCTGGGGCTAGGGTGCTCTGCTTCGTGCTGCTGCTGGGAAGCCATGCGCAGCGGGCTGGGAGAGGGTGACAGGACAGGGAGAAGAGGAGCAGATTGCAGGGCTGCTCTGGCTCCTGCCACCATGGTGAGTGCGGGAGCAAGCCCTGCTGCCACTGTGCCAGGTCCCCGGCCCCAGGTAACCTCGCGAATCCCATCCATAGGACAGTTGGGGTAGCCACTGCAGGCAGGCCCAGCCAAAGAGTTTGCAGGGCCCAAGGTGATATGCTGTGGTGGATGTGTGGTTTCCAGCGTGAGCAGAGAGCAAGCAGCCAAAGGCCCTAAGGCCAGGCCTGACCATGGGGCCCCCAAAAGTGTAGGGCCAGTGGTGACCACCCCAGACAGTCCCTTGGAAAGGACAGGTCTGAGTCTCAGTATGGAAAAATGAAAACTGTACTTTTAAAACTAACTGTATTAGGGCCATTTAAGGAAAACTTAAAGCTTTCCAAGACTACCAAAAATATGTTGTTACAAAAAATTCTCTAACAGATCACTTTAAAACTTTCCAGCAATGCTGTGCTCAGCATTGTGTAAGACATGGAATGAAGAGCTAATATTATCATCTAAAATGAGCAATGCACAGACAACCCTAATTATATATATACACACGCAACCTATAATATAAAAGAACAAATCTATATGCAGTTGGTGAAGTGCTCTCCCTTCACTCATGTTCTTTTCTGTCTCATTGCTCAGGGTATTAGCACTGGAAATCTTCCTAGAAGAAATATACTTACAAATGAAGGGTCTGATGTTCAGTCAAGTTAGATGCACAATTGTGCATGCAAAATATATATTGCACACTCAATTTATGCATTCAGTTACTACCTTGGTTTCTGTTTCCTGATCTAGTCTGCCACGTGTCCATACGTTCCCTTTTCAAGTCCTTTCTCAAAACACATTTTGAAATTCTGAGTCTTCCCCTTAAAGAAATGTTTGCTAAATAATAATTGCATATGTTGTAAAAGAAGATCTAACAAGACTGTGTTAAGCATTACTACTCCTACACTTTGGCTATTTAAAGTTGTAGAACAGAGATCTTAGCTCTTTGTATGTAGAGACCCTTTTTGCACACTATAATACATAGTATTTAATAATAATGAGCTTGACAAACAAGACATATTGTACCATACGAGTATGTTAGGGAGCAAAAATGTGGCAATAATTCCAGTTTTCTTGCTATGCAGAACTGCACACCGTCTGTATTGCTGCAATGCAGAGGAAGAGAGAGAGAAGGGTTGTCACTAAATATTATTTTTTGAATTTATGTTCAATGCTGAGACGTGCTGGTTCCTGGAAAATCCAGTCTGATTCTCAGTGCTAAGTAGATATCATGGGAATGTATGCCCATCCTGAACTAATCTGAATAGCATATTCCCTAGCTTTGCTGTGCCATAGAATTTATGCTGATATTGTTGCATAAATAATTCAGAGCAGCAAGTTGCTCATATTACCTTTCTACTCAAAATCTATCTCTGGGCAGCTCATTCCAATCCTCATTTATCAAATGTCATGAAAAATGTAGCAGCTCTTTACTTGATTGTATAGGCCTCGGTCCTGTAGTGTGCTTCAAGTTAGTGAGAGCTGACTATCCACAGCACTTCCTAGACTGCACAAAGCAAACACTTTTTCACGTGGCAGATTTGTTTAAAGCCAGCAGTGATGTGGATAAATATATTGGTCAGTAGGGGGTACTAATGCAGTTGCACGGTTAGGTTTTACCTTATTTATTCTTCCATCTGGGGGGAGGGAGGATACTTCACAGCCCCTGCAATGCTTATAGCTCATTTTGGTCCCCAACTTGGTGACCCAAATCTAAACCTGAAGCCAGATCTTCACATTACACTGGGATTTCTCTTCTACACTAGTTGAATGCATGTTCTTATATCCCTAGGGCCCTAGGACTGTTTCACTGGATGATCCTATTGAAAGAACCATAGATTTTATTGGACTTACTGACATTGAAGCAATGAAATTACAAATTGTGCTTCTTCTCCACAAGTGTCCAGATCTAAGGTAAGACATGGAATGGATTCTAGTCGTTCACGCTTGTCTTGTTAGTCTTTAAAGTGCTACATAGTCCTGTTTTTCATTTCATGCTTGTAACAGTGTGACTCCAGCACGCCACCTGCTGGTCACTCTGGGAATTAGCTCTTTGGTGCCAGCGCACCCCCTTCTGGCTGCTGTCACGCCTGTTGTTACCTATTCTTCTCCACTTCTGTGTTAGGAACCAAGTCCCTCCCAGACTATGGCGTCCTCCCTCTGGGTACTGCCCTGCCACAGTGCCCCCACACTCTGGGGTCCTCCCCCTCTAAGAACCACCAGTTCCCTATGCCCTCCTTGCCTCAGTGACCCACTGCCAGTTGTTCTAACCACAGCAACAACTATGGAACAAGCCCCTGTACTGTTGGCAGAAATATTATACTGAAAACACTGTAAATATTACATAACATAGTTTCTAATCCAGACAGGTGGTCGTCTGGGTCTGACAGACTGTCTCTCAAACCCTGTTTGTAGTGCAATGTCTTGTTGTGTTGGTATTACGGTGAACTCATCCAACGTGGATTGGGTGTTGACGTCATCTCTTCTTGGTGCATAGGCAGGTGCAAGATAAGAAGCATTCCATACCCACCCATCAGAAAGTTGATAGGTGTAAGGTCCCTTCTTCTCAATGATTTTAAGAGAAGATGTGAATTTATGGTTCCCGTTGCGTAAAATTCCAGGTTTTCTTACTCTAATGAAGAAACCACACTCAAACTTTGGTTCCTTAGCTCCCCGCCATTTGTCTGTGAAAGCCTTATACCTTTCTTGGTTCTGTTCAACTGTTTTTCTCACATCATCCTCTTTTGGTGCATCAGGTCTTGCCTTTAACAATCCAGCAATGTTCATTTTAATATTCATCTGTTTTCCATGCAGTAACATTGCGGGTGATCTTTGCGTTGTGGCATGTCGTGTAGCTTTGTATGCTTGCAAGAAGTCAGTAGTGAAGGTTATCCACAATCGCCCTTCCAGTTTAACTGTTTGCAAACTCTCTTTCAAGTTTCTGTTAAACTTTTCGATTTCCCCATTGGCTTGAGGGTAATAAAGGGATGTTCTTCTGTGTAAAATGTTCCTCTCTGCTAGAAAATTTTCAAATTTCAGGGAAGTAAATTGACTACCATTATCTGAAACCAGTTCTTTGGGGTTACTTTCCCTGCTAAAAACTGTAGAGAGGAACTTAATTATTGTAGCAGAAGAGATTTGTGATGTAAACACTACTTCAGGCCATTTACTGAAATAGTCTATTAAAGTGATGGCATAATGAAAGTCAACTGGAGCAGTATCAAAGGGTCCTACAATGTCAATCACAACTTTTTCCCATGCAGAATCAGGAAGAGGAACAGGCTGTATGGTGGGGTGCATGTCACTGCTGTCTTACCATGCATTTGGCAAGTGACACAGGATTTTATGATTGCTTCAGTTTGGGAGTCCTTCCCTGGCCACCAATACAGATCCTGTAGTTGTTGTTTGGTTCTGACAATTCCTTGATAAGCATCGTGTGCGAGGTGGTATGAGCCACAAGTAGCCGGTGTGTACCTCATAGCACGCAGCCGTCAAGCAAAGAAAGTTCATCCTGAACTCTAAAATAAGGCAGCAAAACTGGGTGAAGGCTTTTAGGCTTACTGGGCCATCTCTTTGTCAGAAATTCCCATTGCTTTTGTTGAATTGGACATGCTGAACAAGCAGCTTAGAACAGCTCTCTTGTAACTGCAGTAAGAGTGCTTGTAATAAGCACAACTACTTCATCCTCATCCTCCAGAGGACCATCTGGTGAAGACAAAGGCAGGCGAGAAAGGCAATCAGCTATCACATTTTGTTTTCCAGACTGATATTTCAGTTCATAATTGAAAGAGAGTAGTCTTGCAGACCATCTAGCAATATGATTCCCTGCTCCTCCCAGTCCTTTTGTGGTTAGCAATGTTGTCAAAAGGCTGTGGTCTGTGCGCAACTTGAATGTGCGGCCCCACAGGTAAGTGCTCCGTTTTTCAGTAGCACAGACACAAGCAACTGCTTCTTTTTCAACTGTAGAATATTTTCTCTCAGCATCACTCTGTGTCCTTGAAGCAAATGCAACAGTCCTCTGTGTTGTCGTCATGAAGTTGTGTGAGGACAGCTCCAAGTGCATAATCAGAAGCATCAGTAGTCACAATTGTGGGCAATGCAGGAGTGAATAGTGCAAGTATTGGACTATGTACAATCAAATCTTTCAGTTTCCAAATTAGCTTGTGCATCCATTGTCCACACCAAGGTTGAACTTCTCTGTAATAATTCTTGTAACGGTTCAATGACAGAAGCATAATTGGGAATGAATTTTGCATACCAGGACGTAAGACCCAAGAGGGAACGTAAGGTTTGCAAATCTGTTGGAGGAGGAGCATTTGAAATTTCTAGGATATGGTCTGGATCAGATTTTAGTCCAGCCGGTGAAATGGTATGCCCCAGCAAGGAGAGTTCTGTTTGTCTAAATTTTCATGTAGACAAGTTGAGCTTAAGGTCTGCTGTGCTAACTCAGTTTAGCACAGACTGCAGGTTACTGTCATGCTCAGGGCTCGACAAACCACTGATTCTACTTGCCCGTGACGAGTAGATTTCAGCCGGTTGCGCCGTGCGCCCCATTCACCGGCACTGCGCATGCGCGGTGCGGAGCTGGTGAGTAGCTCTTGCCACGGTTTGTCAAGCCCTGGCCATGCTCCTCAGAAGTATTTCCAAACGCAATAATATCATCCAGATAGCACTGAACTTCATGTTGATTCTTCAGAATCATTGGCATAATTTTTTGGAAGGCACTTGAGGCAAAACGAAATAGTCCCTCATGTGCAATAAATACAGTGAAGTCTCTGCTATCTTCATAAAACATAACCTGGTGGCATGCACTCTGCAAATCAAGAGTAGAAAACATCTTTGCTCCACGGAGTTCTGCAAATACTTCTTCTATATGAGGCAGAGGGTGGCTGTCACCTCACTTCCCTCAGTCCTTTATTCTCAAGCTGAGGTGTCTGCTGAGAAAAGCCGCTCCGGATCTCCCTAGTCTGCTGGGGGGAAGCAGCTAGTGCGGGGTTTCCTCACCCCGTTTGTAAGTAGGGATCCGATGTAAGTCGGATCCATGTAACCTGGGGACTGCCTGTAATGCAAATAGATGGAATCAGGTAGTATAGATACTGCTGAGCCAGTGTCCAGCATTAGTTGAATAGGATGTGATTTGCCTGAAGATGAGGCAGAAACATTTACAGTGCACCTTATCTGTTCTGGAATATGTAGTAGCGATTTTGTCCGCAGCACAGTAACATCTGGTATTGTAACTGCATGCACCTGTTGATTGGACTGGCTACTGCGGCATACCTTAGCAAAATGCCCAATCTTTTTGCAATGATTGCACTGAGCTACTTTTGCAGGACATCTTGTGTAGCTTGCAAGGTGTGGGGATCCACAGCGAAAGCATGCTTTTGCTGTGCTTTGAATTTTCTGGTTCTGTGGTTTTTCATTAGCTTTCTTCTTGTAATTGTTTGTCTGCAGTGATAGTGGACTTTTCTGCAAAGGAGTCACAGCCTGGACTGGGCCTCCTGTATCCATGCTCATTATTTTGGCTTCTGCTATAGCTGACTCAATCTGGGTAGCAATGGTTATTGCTTTTTCCAGTGTAAGTTGTCGTTCTAGAGGCAAACGTTCTCTTACACGAAACATGGTTGTTTTCTCAATGAGCTGGTCTCTAATCATCTCATCTGCCATATTCCCAAAGTTACAAGTTACAGTCAGAGTCCTCAGAGAAGCAATATACTGCACTATAGTCTCCCCAGGTTTCTGCTCACACTGGCAAAATATGTAGTGATTAGCTACTACATTCACTTTCGGCAGAAAAAAGTTCTTTAATGCTGTGAGTGTAGTCTCATATTTATCATCAGCAAGGGGAAAAGTGTAAAATATACACTGCCCTTCTGCTCCAAGGCAGTGGATTAGCAGACTTCAGAAATCTCTGTAGCACTGATTGCAAGCTGATAAATCTCAAACATATGGATCCAGGCAGTAAAAGCAATTGGAGGCTCACCTGGGCTTTGCAGAAAGGGTGCAGGTAGGTTCAGAGGCAGAAGATCCATCCTTGTCGCCAAAATGGTGTATCATGCAAACAAGGTAGTAACAAACTTCAACAGGACTTTATTTACCAAAAGTGAAACCTCTTTACAAAGCTGCTGCATCCCTCTGTAGCTCTCACTCAGTCCTGACTAATCTTCTCCCCTCTCCTTCCTGTTTCCTGTGCTTCCAGACTCCCAACAGCCAGTGTTCCCAGTTCTAATAATTACAAGCAGCATCTAAACCACCACAAGGTCACAATTTTAAATACAGTTTTAATATGTTAGGCGGCCATTAGTGCTAGGTCGGAGTTTAACAGTCTCCAAGACAACTTATGGTCCTGTGGAATTGGGTCTGATCAAACAAGTGTATTTGTCTCCTCTTTTTCTCTGGTCTGATTCCTGGTACTTTGGGAAAGGAAAGAGCATCTGAATATAATCCTGGACATCAAAGGAACTCTCAGTTGGACAGAAAGAAATACTTTGTTGGCAGTGGTTTACGAAAATTGTGTGGGAATTGAAAAAGAAACAGACATAAAGACTGAAAAATATGGAAACTGTGTCTGTTGCTGCTGCTTTTAAGAAAGGTGAGTGTGTGCATGTCAATACTTATTCATATAGGTGTGTTTATAGTTTTGTAGCTAGATAATGTAATAGTCACTGTAATGCCATTTTTTATTTCCAATACAAATCTGCAGTGACTAACCTTATCTCTAACATTGTGTTTTCCATTGATACATCACTGAGCATCATTAAGTATTATTTTGCAGATAGAGTAGCTGAGCGACTGAACAGCTAAGTGGCTTGGTTGAGTTACAAGTAGGTCAGTGGAAGAGCTGGGAATAGAATCCACTATTCTTGGCTCCTAATTTTCTTTTCTTGTTTGGAGCTAGCAGGGTGAATCACAGAGCACGTTCAGACATTCCATCCAGTACTGCTTAGAGTGACAATCCCTTTTCTTTTTCAACAAATACTTAATGTTTTTCTATTTGGTCCTTCCATAAATCTCTTCTCGTCCAAGGCATTTCAACAGAATTCAGATTAATAGATTTTAAGGCCATTAGGAAACTTCATGGTAATTTAGTCTGACTTCCTCCTTAACACTTGCTAGAGAAATTTCACTGTGATTCCTGCATCAAGCCCATAATTTCTGGGTGAGCTGGTGTATATCTTCTAGAAATACATGAAGTCTTGATTTAAAGGCATCAATTGATGGCCCATCCTTCCTTGTGCCAATGGTTAATTGTCCTCACTTTGAATAAATTACATTTTATTTCTAATCTGAAGTTGTCTAGATTCTATTTTCAACCATAGGATCTTGCTGCTAGATTAGAGCTCTCTACCCAGGTGGGTTTAATGCCTCACTCTGTCCTGAGACTGTATCCACACACACATGTGGTTTTTATTTCAGTTTCACATAAATTTCCTTCCTTTCTCTCAGACCTAACATGGAAAGTCAGAGGCCACCCTCCTTGCGTGTGTGATGAAGGGTCCATCATCAGCTGGCAACATCTAAGATCATAGCATACTTGAAAGTTACTTGGAATGGCAAACAGCATTTGTCTGCTGGAAACAGCCTGCAGGCCATGCAAGGAGGCGTACCAGAGTGTTTCAAGATAAGAAGATCACATAAATCCAAACCTTGATTCCCTGCAGAAAGTTCAACTGGCAGGGGGAATGAATATGGTTTGGTGCAGTAGAAGCCTCCTGCTAGATTCTTGCTTAGCTGGGCAACGACTGCTGAGGAGAGCAGTGGACAGAGCCACATCTTGCTTCTGTAGGGAACTAGGTCACTGTCATGGGGCTGGTGCGCCCCACGCCTCTTGGGGGTCAATATGTCCCAGCGGCCAAGTCTCTAATGCCCCTTGTCGGGGGTGTAAGGGTGTGGTGGGCTAAGGGGGCCTGGCCCTCCCTCTCCACCAGGTCCCAGCCCAGGGTCCTATCAGTAGTGGGTGGTTCCCACCACTGGCTCAGCAGGGAGTTCTTTCTGAAATGTGCCGAGCCCTCCGGGGCACCTTCTGCTCCCTGCCCTGGGCTGCTTCCTACCCTGTCCCTCTGGCCGGCGTAGGCTCCACCTCTGTCTGCAGATCTCGCTGCGGTAGCGGTGTGGGCAGGCCTGGCAGCACTGTCTGGTCCGGCGTCTGATGCAGCATTGGCATCTGGTGAGGTAGCGACAATGGGCGCGGTGGCAGCTAGTGTGGCGGTTGGCGTGGTGGCTGATGTCGGCGCGGTGGTTGTGGCTGTAGCTCTGGCTGGGGCGGTACTTCGGGCTCTGAAAGCCAGGGCAGCTGCTACTGTTCTCCAGCAGGACCTCCTTCCCCTTTGGAGGTCAGCCCCAACTGAGCTGCTTCTCTGGCCTTTATACCAGGCCTGCAGTTGGAGCATGCCCAGCAAGGCCACGGGGGAGAGGCCTTCTCAGCTCAGCAAGCCTAGTTAGCCTCCCATCAGCCAATGCGGAGCTGAGACGCCTCGTCAGTCACCAAGCCCCACCATTCCCCCTAGACCTCCCACAATGCTCCTTTCCACAGTGCTGCACAGAGAGCCACTATGTACCACGGCTCCGTGGCATGCAGAGTTGCAGAACCCTTCTGGTGAATGGTTGCCACCTTGCATCCTGCTCAGCAGAAAGATGGCATTTCCACAATATTTGGGGCCTTGCGTGTCCACAGAGGAGAAGCAGGATGTCACACTTAGCTTTTGTGTCCCTCTCAGTTGTTTACATGGAAAGGCACATTAGAAGAATAGAATTTACATTAATCCCTAGTATAGCCTCTCCCATTGCAATGGATTGTGGACACAGTGTAAACAGTATCTTAGTTTTATAACTGGCGTCAGAGCTGAGTTTGTCTTTCCATCCATATAACTCAGTTTACTGAAAATTTCCCCTGCTGTAAAAGTCTAATTTTTAATGGTTTTTTTGCTGTAGAAGTCTCATGTTCAGTCGACAGTTTAAATAGCTGTTTCCTCTAATCCTCTGAGGTGGTGTGAACTGCTGTTGGGATCTAACAGATGAGGAGTACAGTATGGGAAAACAATAGTCCTTTCTTTTGCCCTTGTATGGGCTGGTGTCAGTCTCAGAGCTGATTTTGGTTCAAAGCCTTATTTGCTATTGTGTTAAAATAGGTCACTGCCACTCTGCTGCTCTCTGACAAAGGTAAACCAATTAGCAGTGCAGAAAAGAACTGCTGTATCAGACACTCTCCACCGACTGTAGGCAGCCAGCAATGACAGCTTCCTCAAACATGGCCTTTCCCCCCTGTTTTTGGCAGTTCATTGTGCTTGTGATTAATTAGGAATGGAGCAAGAGAAGCAAGTTGAGTTTTGTGCATATGAAACACTTGTAATCAAGCTACCCTGTGAGATGTTTGGGGGAAAGTCCCCTAAATCCAGGGTGTGTCACTACAAAATTATGAACACTCATCTGTGTTCTTTGCTGGGTGGAAAGCTCATTTCTTCAATGAACTAGCTTTTAAAGGCCAGATTTACAGAGTGCTTTCCGTACTCCCTGGGAAAAGTGCCTCATTCTGTAAGCGGTCTCAAATAGTTGTTTTAAATTTAGTTTAATCAATTAATTGACTAGTTGATGGAAATTCCATTGATTAGTTGATTAGTCAATAAGTGGGGGAGCCACAGCGGGGTTACTTCCTGGTGGTGGGAGCTAGCCCCACAGCGGCTCTGCCTTTTAAATATACTAAGAGCTGGCAGGCTCTTTATACATTTAAAAGGCTAGTATGCAGTGGGGGGACCTGGCGCGAGCCGGGATAGCTGGTTCCTGGCTTGTGCCAAGACCCAGACGCTGTGCCTCCACTTTTTAAAGGTATTAAGAACCTGCCGGCCGGTGTCCAGCCAGGTCATGCTGGGAATCAGCTGTCCCAGCTGTCCCAGCTCCCCCCACCCCTGCGCTTCTGCTTTTTCAATGTACTAAGAGCCAGCAGGCTCTTTAAAAAGCAGAGGTGCAGCATCTGGGACTTGGTTTGAGCCGGGACAGCTGATTCCCAGCTTGTGCCTGGTGCCCACTATCCCCCTGCTTTGCCTGCCCCCTGTGGAGACAGTGCTGGAGGGAACAGGCTTTTAAGCCAGCTCCCCCCAGCACTGGTGGTTTGAGCCGGGACAGCTGATTCCCAGCTTGTGCCTGGTGCCCACTATCCCCCTGCTTTGCCTGCCCCCTGTGGAGACAGTGCTGGAGGGAACAGGCTTTTAAGCCAGCTCCCCCCAGCACTGGCTCCTGCTCTGCCCCCTTGCTGCCTCTGATAGAGGCAGTAAGGGGGGGAAGCGACTAGTCAAGGGATTAGTTGCTTACATCCCTGGTCCCAAACAGAGTTACTCCAAGTCAGGTGCCTCACAGGATGAACAGGAGAATGTGCGCCTGGCCTTAGGCAAATAAATGGGTTTTAAAAAACAAGTCAAACATCTGTGGAATTACTATGTAATCTGCCATAACTGACCCTTCAAGGACCAGCAAACACCAGCTGCATCAGGAAGGTTGCTCATTAACTAGATGTTGCACAGACCCATATCAAAAAGTTGCTCTCGCTTGTCTGCCATCTCAGCTTGAATTTTTCATTTACAGTTCCCTGTGCAGCTCTGCCCTGGCCCATACCTTGGATATGATCTAACAACATGACCCCACTGCTTCCCATGTCATTGACCAATGTGCCTTGCATAGGCACTGACTTCTCTTCTTGCCAGGGGGGTGCTTGACCCTTCTCCCCTCCAGGCCCTGCCCCCATTCCACCACTTTACTGCCTCCATCCTGCCTCCTCCCCAGGCACAACCCTACCTTGTTTCTCTCCCTCCCTTCTGGAGGTTGAATACTGGGAATTAGCTGTTTGTAGCTCTCAGGAAGCACTGGATAAAAGGGAGAAGAGCTCGTAAGTGCAGGGTCACTGGTGTGCTGTACAGGTGGAGAAGGGTCTGGGGGAAGCTTGATACCAGTGGATGCTCTGCTGCACCCACTAATTTTTCCACATGGGTGCCCCAGCCCCGAACATCTACAGAGTTGGCTCCTATGGTGGCCTGCCTCTTCTGCGAAACAAAAATGTTTTGTGAATTTGTGTCGGTTTTGCCAAAATGGTGAGAAACACAGACACACTCATGCAAACAAGAACATAAGAACATAACATAAGAACGGCCGTACTGGGTCAGACCAAAGGTCCTTCTAGCCCAGTATCCTGTCTGCCGACAGTGGCCAGCACCAGGTGCCCCAGAGATGGTGGACCGAAGACAATGATCAAGCGATTTGTCTTCTGCCATCTCTCTCCAGCCTCTGACAAACAGAGGCCAAGGGCACCATTTTATCCCCTGGCTAATAGCCTTTTATGGACCTAACCTCCATGAAATTATCTAGCTTCTCTTTAAACTCTATTATAGTCCTAGCCTTCACAGCCTCCTCTGGCAAGGAGTTCCACAGGCTGACTACACGCTGTGTGAAGAAGAACTTTCTTTTATTAGTTTTAAACCTGCTACCCATTAATTTCATTTCGTGTCCTCTAGTTCTTCTATTTAGGGAACTAATAAATAACTTTTCTTTATCGGCCCTCTTCACACCACTCATGATTTTATAGACCTCTATCATATCCCCCTCAGTCTCCTCTTTTCTAAACTGAAAAGTCCCAGTCGCTTTAATCTCTCCTCATATGGGACCCGTTCCAAACCCCTGATCATTTTAGTTGCCCTTTTCTGAACCCTTTCCAAGGCCAAAATATCTTATAAAGGTATTATAAAGGACATAGAGGAAATAAAAATATTTCCTTTAAAAAAAAGTTTTGAATTTTTTAGTTCAAAATGACTGTTTCAGAAATGGGTAAAATAATGGGATGTGATTAAACATGCTCAGCATTGAAACAAAGGTTTTGTTTGTCCAGAAACTACATCCCCTCCCACTCCAACATTTTGATTTAATTGGTTTATAAGCCACTTAGCACAGGAATTAAAAAATGTTCACTGCCACTTTGCACAGGTTGGAGGACAACACAGTGTGCATGTTATACCCAGCTCACCCAGCCTCAAACTTCTTGCCACACAAAGAAATCTGGACATCTGTCAAAATAGATAGGATGGGGCTCTGAATTGTGCTAGGTACATTGAGCCATTCCCAGTTCTCATTTCTGTGTGCTATCACCTATGCGTTTATTATCCAAGTGGGGAACACATTGCAGCTACAACTTCTTGAAGACAGGATTAACGTGTGCCCATGTTTATTGGTATTTAAATCAACAAGCATTACAGAATGCACAAAACCTCTTGGACCTCCTGATTATAGCTGGTCTAAAAATACATTCAACAGCAGTGGAAAGATTTCTTTCAACTAGATATTGATAACTAGTTGCTTCTACTCTATCTGACATTCAGAGAAGGATGTTGTGCTTACTTAATAAATAAATGCAGATTGAAAAGCTTCAGGAGCATGCAAAGTGCAGTTATTCTTTGAACTAAAATAGGTGAGAACAATATCCATTTCATAGCTATGGTGTGTATTGGAACATAATGTTATGTAAACAAATCCTGCTGTGTATATATGTACAATATGTTCTGTAATATATATCTGTATGTGAAAGATACTTATTTAAACAATATTTCTTCATTGTACATTTCTCGTTCATATTTTGCACTGGAGCTGTAAAATATTCAAATAAAAACCTAAATGAAAAAAATACACTCTTAACCTTATTGGCTGCACATTGGACTGGAATTTGGAGGTGAATCTGCCCTGAGCTGATTCCCAACCCAATGGACTTTCTAGACATGATCCTATGGCACTTTTAAACCCATCTGTACTGTGCTTCCAAGAGGATGGGGGTAAAGAGGGGAGCCGTAAGTCCCATTTTGCCCTTTGTTTCAGGACTGTGGTAAGGGCTACCTCAGGCACCAAACAAGGACACTCCACCAGAGAAACAGATCACATCATGGAACAGGCCATCCAAATAATCTGAGGGAACCTGCTTTAATACAGAAATAACACCCCCCTCTGATGGCACACCCCTAGGTGTCACCAAACACCTCGCACAGGAACCACACAGGGTTTTATTGAACGACTTCAATCCATACAGCATGGGAACCCCATCCTGAAAGAAATCTTTCCTTGTTCTGGCCTTCAAACAACTTGCAACTTCTCCAAGCTTATCATCAGGAGCAAACACCCCAAAAACCAGGCCAGAGCAATGCAAAGCGGCACCAGACCCTGCCAGAAGAACAGATGCCAACCTGCAGACATCTCTCCGCTGGTACAATGATCAACACTCCATTGCTTCCTCCCAGCCCCGCAATCCATGGGTCCTAGATGTGCCTGTCACAGCATGTGGTGTGCCTCATCCAGTACACTAAATGCCCCAATAATGACTATGTGGGAGAAACCAGACAATGGTTACAGTATGGCATGACCTCACAAATGATAGAAGCGAAAAACACTTTTTTGCAAAGCGATCATGCTACATCTGATTTGTCAGTCCTCATCCCCAGTGTAAATATGCACAATACTTTCAAAACATGAACCCGGGACCTTAAATTTATAACATATAGACATATAAAATCATGGGCTAATAGTAGAGACGTTGAATTTATGGCTTATTACAATTGACTATTTACTGAACAACCTCCCTCAGCTGCCCTTTTCCTCCTCAGCTGCCCTTTCCTCCTGATACCTGGAGAAGTGTTAGCAGGTGACTTCATTGTTAATGATCCCTTGCAACAGATATTAACTATTTATGCTAAACAATCTGTTCCTTCTTCTGTTTAGCTGTGACACGTAGAGGAGGTTTCCCAGATCTGAAAGACAGCTCTGTGTAAGCTTGAAAGCTTGTTACGCTAACCATAAAAGTTGGTCCAATAACAGATATTACCTCACCCATCTTGTTTCCCTGATACATTTTACAGCAGCCGGGACCTGTTATACCTTAGAGCTAAAATAGAGCAGCTTGGAGATGCTCTAATTTACAGCAAGCTCTGAGAGCTGCCAGTGTCTGGAGCAGCACAGAATCTCAGTAGCTCTCAGTACTCCAGACTCTACTCCAGACTCTCCCTCATCAATGAATCTCCTCTCCTCCCGTCCTTTCCCTGACTCATGGCAGTGCAAAGCATGTCTGCCTGGCTGCAGGGCTTTTCCACTTCATTAGGATGCTGGTGTTGCAGACAGGATCTGCAGTGGATGAGGGATTCCTCCCCTCAGTTCCTCACCAGTCAGTGTGAACAGAGGATACTTATTGTTCAACATCTCCCAGGATCCGGGCAGACATTCTCTTGCTCCCATTAATGTCACCTCCCGAGGCCACTGGCACCAGGATTTTAAAAAGGCGATAATGTTGGTTCCCAAGATGTAAACAGGTTTAAGTATCTCAGCTTTTCTGGAACATCCTTTCTTCCCATTTCCTCTTGTGACTTGCACAGCATAGAATCACTGTTCAATAAAAGACGATTCCCTATCTGTGTTCCATGGTCTCTTGTGACTTGAACAGCATAGAATCGCTGTTCACTAAAAGACGATTCCCTATCTGTGTTCCATGGCTGTCCTTTGTCTGGTGCGCCTGCCATTCCACTGTGACAGACTTTCTGGAACCATCTCAGTGATTTGGGGTTCTGGAACCAGAGCACAGCTCTGGGCCTGGAGGTTTTTGGTGAGGGGAGTATGTGTGGGGGAAACTGTGACAGTAAACCAAGTGCAGGGTCTAAGAAAATAGCCTCCTGCACTGCTGGAGGCCCCAAAGGAGGGGGAACCCATGCCCCGTATGTACCATGGAGAACTGCCACAGCATCTTTCTATGGCAACAGAGAGAGGTGCTGGGACAGGCTGGGAAAGGGTACAGGCAGTGAACTGAAGAGGGTTGCATCTCTCCTGACCAGATGCAGTTTGTGGCAATGGTGTCTGGTCTGTCTGTTTGAGAGAGTTGGCAACCCAAGCTGATCCACTGGCTCCCACCCCAGTGAAGATACTGTACACTGCAGACAAGGACCAGCTATGCATCTGCCCTGTTCACTACTTAAAGGGTGAGAGGGCCTCAAACTCCTGTAGGTCACCTGTACATATCACATTTGGTTCTGTGGGGGTGAGCACAATTCCACCCC